CAAAGGAGGAGGCTGCAATGCTTGGTAAGAAATGTACGCATTATCCTGCCCATGTAATTGTAACCCCTCTGTACAGTATGTTCACAAATAAAATTAAATTAAATTAAAAAAAAACTGGTCCTTCTGCATAATGATGCAGGAACTAAATATACTGAGTATAGACAGGCTAACTATCTAAAGCAAGACTTCTTCCCCAGAGTTTCCATTTATTCAGGATTGCTTTCAACATGTTTTGTACCTGCTATTGTGGTCTTGATTATGCATGTGTCAACACCAGTCTCTACTTTCAGGGAACTCATTTTACAGTGCAGAGATCTCATGGACTAGCTGGCAAGCAGGGGAAAAAACAGTAGTGGGGGGAGAGGGGGCGGCAGGGACTTCCTGAGAAACAGCTCAGATATCAAATCAGGTTCTTTGTTATCATGGAAAACTGAGATTGAGAAAAGATTGCAAGACTTGAATTTCAATTAAGTCTCCCAGGGATGCACACTAGTTCAAAACTGCTACACAGTTAGGAATTAATGGTGGGGGCTTTGACATAAATAACACAACAGAAAACAAACAGAAAACAAATAATCTTGCAGTTATAAATTCCAATCTGAGAATGTTTTCACCAGTTAAGCAGCAAAAAGCTGGGAGTGGAGGAGTAACTCCAGTGGTAAATTGCCAGCCTTGAGCAACAAAAGCTCAATAAGAATACAAGGCCTTAGGCTCATGCCCTACTAAAGGAAAGAAGACAGGAAGGCAGGAAGGAAGGAAACTGCAAAACATTTGAGAAATTACACATCCAAGAGAAACAAAAAAAGTTGAGTGAACTCATTTCCCATGCAATTAATTTTATGGAACTCTTCTGACAAAGGTTTAAAATGAATATGAAACTTTAAAATTTTTAATGCAAGTTTAATTTCTTTAGAAAATTTACAATGATAATATAAATTGAAAAGTGGTGAAAAAATGAGAAAAGAACATTTCCCATAATGTAGCAATGAACCAAGTAGGAAGTTGAAAGTTATTTACAGTTATTGAACTAAAAATTAAAAAAAAACTGGAATACATTCAGTGTAAAGAAAAAACAGTGAATTTGCCACAGAGACAAACAAGGATAAAAATATACCAAAAAATGGCTAAGAGACACACAGTTTTATGCTCTGTAATCTCTGCATTTGGAATGGGGATAGTCTAACATGAGATGTGGTCCAAATAATTCAGAAAAGTCACTAGTGCTTGTTATGTTAATTACATATTGAAATAGTGTTGAATATTTGTGCTGAAACAGATACATGAAAAGTCACATTACTCATTTCTTTTTGCTTCTACGTGAGGCTACATAAATGATATGGCTGTTTTGCATTACCTTCATAGTTGACCATGTTGTTCTATATAGTACTTACTCTTCTGTAAGAGTTCCCATAAATTATATGAGAGAGAAAGCTGGAGAAGAAATATTTGAAAAATATTAATGGAATTTTTGTTCAATTGCAAAGGTAGAGATGAGCACATTACAATGGTGTTACCAGATAATATTTAGCATCAGTAAAGTCATGCTTAAGAAATTTACAATGAGGGGCTGGGAAGGTGGCTCAGTGGTAGAGCGCTTGCCTTGCATGCATGAGGCCCTGGGTTCGATTCTTCAGCATCACATAAGCAAAAAAAGAAAAAAGCCAGAAGTGGCACTGTGGCTCAAGTGGTAGAGCGCTAGCCTTGAGCTGAAGAGCTGAGGGACAGAGCTCAGGCCCAGTGTTCAGGCCCCACGACCGGACACACACACACACAAAGAAATTTACAATGAAGTTAAACAACCTTGGGTATAAAGAGAAATGTCAAAACTAGAGGTGTGTACTGACAGCTGGCCTATGACAATGGACTTGAATTTATTTTTCTAGAGGACACAAAAAATGCAGTGGAGAAATATTTAAATTGGTGTTAAAAAGTTAACAAAGTTAACAATCCAAATGTTCAGTAACAAACCAAAAACATCATTCAAAGATAAAGAAAAGAGACTATACAAACACAGTTTCCAATAACATCTCTAGTTAATTTCATCTAGTTAATTAACATAAATGAATCCCCATTCATTTATCCTCTCCAGAAGAGTTACGGAATGCTGTACATAAACAAGAACCCAGGACCAAGAAAGGCTTTATCTATGGAAAATAACATAGGCAATTTTAAAGTATGACTGAGTTTAATTAATGTTTCTTGATTACCTATACTTTTTCACTTCACTATAAAGTAAATCTGGGAAAAGGAAATAGAAAACAGTGAAAAAGATGGTTGATACATAGAGTGTGAAAATGTTAGAATAGAGAAATGTTAAGTCAGTTGATGATGTTTGAAACTGATTAACCCCAGGAGAACATAAAGTTCAGAGGAAAAAGCAATGTGACTAGCCAACAAGAAACATGAAATAAAATGTATTTCATGTCAAAATGGATCAGTCACCATGGTTTACATCAGTAGATTAAAGCTCTGATTATCTGTTTCTTTCCTATTTGCTGTCTAGCCACCATGAAGGACCAGAGAGATGGTGTTAGAAGCAACAGTTTGTACTCTTCACATTATTCATGGGACCATTCTTCCCATAAAAGGGATGCTTCATTTTCCAGAGAGTCGCCTGGAGGTCAAAAGGACTCTCCACACAGCAGATCTGGCTCCAGTGTCAGCAGCAGGAGCTATTCTCCAGAACGGAACAAACATTATCCATTCTACCAGTCACAGAACAGAAGAAGAGAGAGATCTGCTCAGTCTTTGAAAACATCACAAGACACTTCAACTTGGAGCTCTTCAGCACTTCCTTCCTCAAAGAGGGTACCTGACACGCCATTAGTCATTGAGCAGCCTGAAGAAACTGTGTCTAACACAACAGATTGGATAGAATTATTTGAAGATGCTCAACTAGACAGTCGCTCTAAAGCAATAGCATCCAAAATGAAGGAGATTGAACGGGTTTACCAGCAAGACTGTGAAACTTTCGGGGTGGTGGTGAAAATGTTGATTGCAAAAGATCCTTCATTAGAACAAACTATACAGTTTGCTCTGAGGCAGAATTTGCAAGATATAGGTAAGCGGTGTATTGAAGAGCTGAAGCATTTCATTGCAGAGTATGACAATTCTGCTCAAGTTTTTCGAGATCCTTTTTAAAAGAGTTACTGTTTAGGAAAAATAAATTAATTAATTAACAGGAAATGTTTCTAGATTTAATAAGCCCTGCCTATGGACTGTGTAAATCTTTAATACATGGAACTTTTGTGATGAAGAGAAATACTTTATATGACCACATTTCCAATCCAGTTAAACATCTACCGTAGTTTTGTAAAGATAGTTTAATTAGAACTTTTCTCTTAATGTAAAGCCAACTAGTCTTTCTTCTTAATCATATACATCCCTTCATTCCAAAAATGAGGGTTAATTTATTAATTTTTGCAAAAGCATTTTCTTGGTAAAGCAGCTTTTGTACTTCCTACTCTTCTGTGTAGTGGTTTCTTTGGCCATGTGAGCATAATTTCTACTTAGAGATCATTCGACAAACATGAGTAGTCTTTTCACTCTTGTCGCAGAAAATGCCATGTGCAAAGCATTAGCATTTGAGTTGTGATTTTATACTGACTCTTGTTTTTATGAGGCTTTGTAACATTGAGCAAGTCAATGGTACTGTCTTAATAAATTAGTTCTCTGCTATCTTAGTGAATTTTCATTCAGCAACAAAACAAGTTTAAAACCTCTATAATATACCTTACAATCATTTTCCCAAAATAAATGAACTCTTTGTGCCTTCTCTATTAAAATATGCTTGAATCTTTTGAGTACTCTGACAAAATCTTAAACATTATCATGTAATAAGAATAAAGAAAAGAGTAATTTGAGATGAAGATGACTATTTTAATCATGGATTTCTCAAACACCTTTATGAGGAAAATTTCAGCATACACCAGAGGACTGGAGCTTTCTTTACATTTTCAAAATAAGCTCATACTTGAAAATGGGTGATTGATTAAAGCACTTACAGATTAGGCATGCATTAATCTCTGTAATCTGAGTGTTTCGGTCTGCTTATTTTAGATGTTCCTAAAGCATCAAAAGAAACAAGGACAATTAGCAGGAAGCTAGCAAGCAGTCCTGAATACCAGTCCTTCATGAGTGAGCCAGTCAATGTTCTAATGGTCCCAGTTAGTTTCTGAATCTTGGTTGCCTTTTTTTTAAGATTTCCAAAAGTCTTACAATATCTGCTTTCCCTCTGCTGATCATCAAGGCTTTGTGATTATTCAATGAAAGTTTTGTCACATCAGTTGGGAAATGAAAAAGCAATGGTTAACCTACAAACAATAAAACATTTTTATAAGCTTTCCAGAATACATCTGAATGTATCTACCCTAAAATTAGATTTTAAAAGGCATTTAAAAAATGAAAACCCAAACAGGTTGAATTAACACTGATAAGCCTAACAGAATGCTGAGAGGTGACAAGCATTACACAGCTTTAAATGCTTGTACATACACTGAAATATATGTGTTAGGAAAATGATTTTTTATTTAAACATTGATCAAGACAGAATCAGAATCCCAGGAGCAAATCATGTTACCCCCTAAAGAGAGGGATGGAAGAGAAGCAGAGATTAATCAAAGCAGGGCAATGTGTTATAGCAGCCAATGGGCTTTGGAGCTAAGAAAGAAAACCAGAACCACCTCCCAGCCGCACAAACTCTGAGTTTCCTTATCTCTGGCTACAAAACTCTGAAATGCTGAATATATAATACTCAATGAGTGTTAAAACATGGACTAACTAGCTCACTCCTCATAAGTGCGCCCTCTACCCAAACACCATCATGACTTTAGCCAAGGGAGATTGGGTATAAAGGCTTGTTACTGTTTGAAGGACCATGAATGATTGAAACCTGTGTGGCATCACAGCCAGTGAGTGTAAGCAAAGACTGGGGTGCAGGCTCATGTTTCAGTGGTTGGGGGGGAATTCATACAAGTGGAATGTTGATCCAGATTTGAAACTGGTAGAAAGTAGAAGTGATTCCGTAATTGGTTTTCCAGTAATTATCTAAAAAGCAGGAAGAGTAGAATAAGATTTGATGTGGAAACGGTAAATAATAATAATAGGCACTTGGAAGTGGAGTTGTAGCTCAAAGTGGTAGAGTGCTAGCCTTGAGCAAAAGAGCTTAGGGAGAGCACCCAGGCCATGAGTTCAAGCCCCACAACTGACAAAATCAAAGTTAGTTTTTAAAAAATAAATTATACATGTTTTTTTATTCAGGAGAGAAGGGTGTTTGGTCATTTTAGTGTCGGGGGCATTTTTTATGTTTGTGTTTAGACAGGATTATTGAGTAGTATTATTATTGTCCTGATTCATCTCAGTTGTCTGATTCATCTCAGAGAAGTCTGATGTGATGCTGCAGAAAGTTCTTCATGGTCAGCAGGCCAAGACCTACACTACCTTCTCAGTCCAGCTGATAGGGGTGGCCATCCCAGCTGGCACATGCTCCTTTCCTTTACATAACATGCTCCTTTCCTTTACTCATAACAATCTATTACATATTTAGTCATTATCTAGATATTTAACAGAAGAGTAGGTATTCATCATATACAACATTATGTTTTCAAATATGTATATATTATGGGAAAGCCAAATCAGACCACACAATATATAGATTACCTAGTGTTCATTTTTCTGATGATACAACTTTAAATGTTCCCTCAATCACTTCCAAAATATACTACATTGCTGCCAACAGTCACCATGGTGAAACACAAATACTTTGAAATAATAATTCTTTACAAAAATTTTCTTTTGGCCAATATTTCTATAACTCCACCACTCCAAGCTCTTATCTCACATCATGTCTACAGCATACAGAGAAAGAAGCCAAGCCTACCCAGCCATTAAAAAGGAAGAATGGAATTTGAATCCAAGTATACCTTTGTGGATCCTGACCAGTGCCTATAACTTCTGTATAATTCAATCTCTTGATGACAGTCGGCACCACCTTAAAATCTGTACTTGAAGCATGGATACATCTGACCCATGAAAAGCGTTTGACAAAGAAATATGGGATAGAGTTGCTATTATTATAGGCTTATATTATAGGCTTTCCTTTTTCAGGATGCCTGCCTTATGAGTTAAGCATGCAATAAAGAACTGGAAACTTGCTTCTGGGCCAGACTTCATAATGAGCTGACTCAAAATGAGCTACAGAATTCCTTAAAAACCTTGCAAAGTCCTGTTGTCTAAGGAAGACTAAGCATGCTTAGTGAAACCAATTTGATTGTTTTGAAAAAGGACCTTCTCTAAATAGTCTTGTGTAGGAACACAAATCAAAAACATAAAGATACTTTCATTATTCTTTTTTTTTTTGGGGGGGGGGGTCAGGTCATGGGGCCTGAACTCTGGGCCTGGGCGCTGTCCCTCAGCTCTTCAGCTCAAGGCTAGCGCTCTACCACTTGAGCCACAGCACCACTTCCGGCTTTTTTCTTTTTTGCTTATGTGGTGCTGAGGAATCGAACCCAGGGCCTCAGGCATGCAACGCAAGCACTCTACCACTGAGCCACATTCCCAGCTCATCATTATTTATTCTTAAGAAATATAAATTTAACCAGAGGATTGACAAAGAAGCTACCGAATTAAGTGAGGCCATACTTCAAGAAGAACTAACTGACATCTACCGAGTATTTTACCCTAAAACAATACAGTACACATTCTTCTCAGCAGCTCATGGAAATTTCTCCAAAATAGACCATATCATAGTTCATGCAAGGAACTCAAAGCAAGTACAAGGGGATTGACATAATCCCCTGTATCCTATCAGACCACAGTGGAATCAAGCTAGTTCTCAATTACAAAGCATACTGCAGAAATTACTTAAATACATGGAAATTGAACAGCACACTTCTAAGCAACCTGGGTAGCAGAAGAAATTAAAAAGTTCCTACAATTCAATGAAAATGAAGACCATCACAAAGAAATTTGTGGGACACAAAAGCAGTCTTGAGGGGCAAATATATCATCCTCAGTGCCCACATCAAGAAAATAGAGACCAACCAAGTAAATAATCTCGTTACAATTAAAACAGCTAGAAAAAAACATGAAAAAATGGAACCTAAAGTTACTAGACAGAGCCAGAAAATCAAACTAAGAGCAGAAATTAGTGAGCTAGAGAATATAAAAATTATAAATAAAATTAATTTTAAAAAGCTGGTTCTTTGAGAAAATAAATAAAATTGATAGACATTTGGCAAGATTAATTAAGAAAAGAAGAGAGGAAACCCAAATTAACAAGATCAGGGATGCCACAGGAAAAATCACAACAAATACACAAGATATGCAAACAATGATAAAGAACTATTTTCAAAAGTTATACTTTCTAAAGAAAGAAAACCTATCAGAAATTGATGTGCTTTTAAAGAATAGCCAAAACAATTCTAGGGAATAAAGACAACATGGGAGAGATATCCATGCCGAACTTCAAACTCTACTATAGAGCCATAATAACAAAGACAACATGGTACTGTCACAAAAACAGACCCAAAGACCAATGGAACAGAATAGAAGATCCAGAAATAAATCCACGGGCCTACAGTCAGCTGATATTTGACAAAGGAGCCAAAGACATACAATGGAAGAAACACAGCCTCTTCAACCATTGGTGCTGGGAAAACTAGGCAGCCACCTGCAGAAAACTAAAAGTGGACCCCAGCCTTTCACCATGCACCAATATCAACTCAAAATGTATTAAAGACCTTAACATCAAACCTGAATCTCTGAAACTACTGCAGGACCAAGTAGGAGACACTTGAACTTATAGGCACAGGCAGGAACTTCCTGAACAGAGTGAATTAACATCAACCAAATCAACATATATTTCATATTCATTGCTATTCAATAAAATTTGATATTATATATGACATTGCTCACAACACAGGGGTTCTTCACCACAATCCCCTCCTGAAATCACACTGGCTGCTCTTGGCAGTGTGCTTTGCCAGTATGCTTTTAGGATCCTGTGAGGCTTCTATTAAAGGGTAATTCCATTTTAGTGGTACCCATTCCAGGAATTGGACTGTTCTTATCAATGGCCTACCTAGATAATACTTTTAATGGTGGAAGACATACTGTAAGTTCCTATCTTATTTTGATGTAACAGCTTGCTCACCTCTAGCAGAATCCTGACACACAGGCAGATGCTTCCCAAGGGAGATGAAAGGCTGACAGAAATTCACAGGTGTGGGCTGGGCCCACCTTCCTCTGCCAGTGATTAATAAAAATGACCACTGTTCCTGCTGCCCCAGGGTGGACACCGCCCTAAAATACTTTATCACTTCACAAAAAGGAGACTCACTATGTGAAAAGTGAAAATAAGTTTGTGTCTTCCTGAAATTTTAATAAGGACAAGAGCAGAGATATACAGAGGGTACAAATCCTAAGTATGCTAATGTGAATTGAAAGGTAGTCCCATTCTTCAGGAGGTATAGAGGTCAAGCAAGAAATGCTACATTGAAACTTGTGCCAAGCCAAGCTTCTCTCCAAGGTCACTGTAATATTGTTTCAAATGGGATATCATCTAGCTATATTCCTTCCTCTCCCCATAATGACTCATTAGAGTTCCAGAACATGATATGGCAAGTGGGGAGAGGGTGAGGGAAGCATGGTCTTCCTTCAAAATCGAAGGTGTCTACAGGGAAGAGACAATTAGCTCCCAGGACACCTGCTCAGACCTCTGGGCTCAACCCTGAGGCTTCTTTACCACTCTGCTTATGTCATAGAGGGTTAAAGCCTTTGCTTTAGTTCCCTTTTTCTTAGGAAACAATGTCAGTTATTTGCATGCAATATTTCTGGATGTGAGGATGAAAAAACTGGAGAACCCTGTTCTAGACTGGTCCAGGTATTTGCTGACTGACTTCTCTGTGCCTTCCAGCAATTTTCCAGAGCACAAGCTGTGGAGAAAAGGCTACTTTCTCAAAGACTATATACAGCTGAAAAGCTATCTGTTTGACCAATGCTACAGTAACTAAAGCAAGTCCAGCCTGTTCTCATCACAGAAACTCTAGGAAAAATCACAATATAGGATTTCAAATATAAACTCTTAGAGTATTAATTCTACATTAAATGATACTAACCTGTTACCATCTCTACAATCACCAGCTGTTTCATTAGGGAGTTTATTTTATTTTTTTGTTTTTTGTTTTTTATTGGTTGTAAGGCCTGAAATCTGGGCCAGGGCACTGTTCCTCAGCTCTTCAGCTCAAGGTTATAGCCCTCTACCACTTGGACCACAGTGCAACTTCACACTTTTTCTGCTGATGTGGTGCTGAGGAATCAAACCCAGATCCAAGCAAGCATTCTACCACAGCCACCTTCCCAGCCCCATTAGAGAGTTCTTAATCTCCCTAATGTTTAATTTAAACATATGAAGAAGCCCCAACATAGAAGATAAACTTTGCATGGTGATTAAATAGGCATGTTATAATGATATGTCAAATGTGAGTTGTTTTCATTAAATATATTGGAACTAAGTTAAACTTCTACTTTGAATTTTTCTTCCTAGTGTTTAGAGCCTCTAAAGTACCCAGTGCTCAAAGCAAGGGGCCCAGGCTCTTAAGTTTCTGACTCTAAAAATCAGAAACACAACATACAAGCATTGAGTCTCTTTAAAACTTCAGTGTTTACTCACTTATTATAATAATTTGGAATCATTAGGAAGTTGAGATATTAGAAAAGAAATTATTATTTTAAAAATATAACTTTAGTTGGCATTTAGTTTCATCAAAATGCATTATACTCAAAACCTGACCACTAAGGAATTGAAATCTCTTAGTAGGAGGAAAGATAAAAAACAAGAAAGAAGGAAAGAAAGAAAGTAACAGAACTTGTGAGTTCTCAATGCTTTCAATTGTTTAATCTACTAAAGTGTTACTTGCTCAATAGGAAAAGCAATGTACTTAGCAATACTAGATTGGCATTAATACATCTTCAGAGAGTGATCTTGTACCTCCCTTCACATGGTTAGGATGGACAGGAATCCTTATTTTCAATGCTACATTTCTGGCTTCCTCCCACTGAGGTACTGGGACTCAGGCATCTACCTATCACAAGCCATGGCTCCTACACATCACAGAGGCATCATGTGCTACCTTGGTTACTTTACCCAGTAGCTCTGAAATTGCCTCGTGTCTTTTCTTTATTTTAGTTTTGGTGATATTTTTCTTATGATCAGCTTACTTTACCAGACACATGGTATTTTAAAACTAAAAAAGATGAAATAATTGGAAATAATCTATGACCTCAAATATTTCTTTTCTGGCTGAGTTTTCCTCATCAGCACTTATTGTCATTCAGTACAGGGGAAAGATACCAAAACAAAATAAACACAAACTTATTAGCAAGAAGAAAGCTAACAAATGATAACATGACGGGTCCTTTCCTTAAATTTCAGTATAAGTAGTTTTGCAGCTATATGGAAAATAGCTAAGAATACAAAGTCTTTGGAAGAGATCAGAGTGGATTGACAATAGCAGACTCACCATCTGTCCTATGTAGACTAGCAAATCCAGGGCCGTGGCTGCTGGACAGCTCTGAGCTGCTGCTGAAGGATGCCCGGGGCAAGGCAGAGGCCAGTGGAGCATCGCACTTGTCTGAACAACAACAAAAACATCATCATCCCTCACAGGCTAGAGACGCACTGAGAAAAGTGTTCCTACTCTCTACTTTCTCATCTCCCTTCTTTTTGAGTTAACAGGTAGAAAAATGCTTGAATTTGTAACAAACATCAGTTTTCACTGAGATATGCAAGTAACTGCTAACTACAGGTTCAGATTGATTATTAAACCTAATTTGTAGCATTTGCTGTTTCCCATGGTGTAAGTATTTCAATTTGACCAGAATTGAACCTATCCAGAGGGGTTACACTAGAAAGAAATGCACAGTTTCACACATCATACAACATTTTCTCCATGCAAATAGAAGATATGTAAATAGACATTGTGCTTAAAGCATAGGTGTCATGAAATCAATACCTAGTGAACAGTTGTGAGAATTTACTTCCATTTTGCTTAACTGAAATTATTATATAATTTTATTTTGACAAATGACTGGTTTGTAAAAGTAATGATTGGCTTATACTAGTAACTAAAACTTAATGCCAGCGACTGATTATTGAATAGAGAAAAAAGTATTTCTTTCAAGGTCAGGAACAAAAACTTATGTTAAACATTGAAGAAAATAAGTAAGCTATGGTAAATAATGCTGCAATAAACATAGTTGTGCTGGTAGCTTTAGTGTGGTCTTGTTTGTAAACATTTGGGTAAATGCCCAAAAGTAGGATTGCTGGGTCATAGGGGAGTTCTATGTGGAGTCTTTTGAGGAACCTCCATACTGCTTTCCAAAGTGGTTGAACAAGTTTACACTCCCACCAACAATGAAGTAAGGTTCCCTTCTGTCCACATCCCCTCCAGCATCTGTTGTTGTTAGAGTTCTTGATTTTTGCCGTTCTAACTGGGGTGAGGTGATATCTCAATGTTGTTTTGATTTGCATTTCTTTTATGGCTAGGGATGTTGAACATTTCTTCATATATCTATTGGCCATCCTTCTTTCCTCTTCAGAGAAGTTTCTCTTTAAGTCTTTAGCCCACTTATTCTTTGAGGATTTGTTGTTGGGGGGTTTAATTTTTTGAGTTCCAAGTATATTTTAGATATGAGACCCTTGTCCGTTGTATGGCTAGTAAAGATCTTCTTAATCTCTTATACTTACTTTCTCTCAGAATTTGAAGTTGGTAATTACAAATTCAAGAGATGTATCTCTGTCAAACTACTATTTTGGGTAAATTTGCTGAAGATGGTTTGAAAAATAGAGGTACAATTGTAAACTTGTTCAACCATTTTGGAAAGCAGTATGGAGGTTCCTCAAAAGACACCACATAGAGCTCCCCTATGACGCAGCAATCCCACTTTTGGGCATTTACCCAAATGATCACAAACAAGACTGTACTAAAGCTACCAGCACAACTGTGGTTATTGCAGTATTATTTACCATAACTAAGATATGGAACCAACCCTGATGCCCCTTAGAAGATGAATGGATCAGGAAAATGTGGTACATATACACAATAAAAATTGTATGCCTCCATCAGAAAGAATGACATTGCCCCATTTGTTAGGAAATGGAAAGACTTGGAAAAGATATATTAAGTGAAGCCAGGCTTAAAGAAACATAGGTCCCATGGTTTCCCTTATTTGCAATAACTAGTATATGTCTGAGACAAGCAGAAAAGGTCAGATAAGGTGATGTTAGGGAAATGAACCCTAAGATAAGGACTAAATGGTTTTCCTTTCTTGCTATTGTTCCTAACATATTTATAAGATGATTTCATTGTTGCTTTGTATGTCCGTCCCCCCCCCATGGTATAACACCTGTTTTCACTGTATTTGATTTTGTTATAATTTGTGGAGGGGAAGGGAAAAAACAAATTGTTTAAATAGGGATACAGGTGGACCCATTGCAACAATGAGATATACAAGAGATTATGTCAAAAAAACGAACTTTAAACTTTGGTGCAGGGATGGGGAGTGGAGGGGGAGGGGAGTGCGAAGTGATGGTCAGGGGAAACAAAGGAGGAGGCAACAGTGCTTGATAAGAAATGTATTCAAAAAGAAACATGTGGTGGAATAGGACTGCCACTTCATGAAAGAAGATGAGGAAAAGAAAACTGAGAAGGGGCGAGAGTCCTACAATCTCCTTCAAGGACATGCTCCCACAGTAAACACAGGGCCTCCCACCACCACACACCTGTAAATGTTTCTGTCACCTCAAAATCATGGCAACTGGGGACTAAATCTTTTAACAAATGAACCTTTGTAGGCTATTTATGATCCATACTTCAGCACCTTATAAACTACAAATGTCTACCCTCACCTGAATATCTGCATATCATGCAACATTACCAATAGACTCCTAAACAATCCAATCATCTCTACATTATCAGTGTTAAAAATGTCTTGGTTTTAAGCTGTACACCTGTGGCTCATGCTTGTAATCCTAGCTACTTGGGAGACTGAGATTTGAGGAACATGGTTTGAAACCAGACCAAGCAAGAAAGTCTGTGAGACTTTATGTCCAAAAACCCAGAAGTAGAGATGTGGCTCATATGATAGAGTGCCAACTTAGAGAAAAAAAACAACTCAGGGACAGTACACAGAACCTGAGGACTGGAATAAAATAAAATATCTTGCTAATATAGATGGCTAATTAGATAATATAGATATATTAGCTTTCTAATGCTTCTGTACAAATTACCACAGCTTTGATGGCTTAAAAAAAACATACATTTAGCAGGGCACCAGTGGTTCATACCTATAATCCTAGCTACTGAAGGGGCTGAGATCTGAGAATCATGGTTCAAAGCCAACCTGAGCAAGAAAGTCCATGAGAGTCTTATCTCTAATAAACTACCCAAAAAATTCAGAAGTGGAGTTGTGGCTTAGTGGTACAGTACTAGCCTTAAGCAAAACAAGCTCAAAAACAATGCCAAGCCCTGAGTTCAAGCCCCAGAGCCCACAGCAACAACCCCCAAAAACATCCACCGCATATATTTATTATTTCTCATTTCTGGGATGTAGCTCAGCATGTGCAAGGTCCAAGGTTTAACCCCTAGCATGGCAATAACAACAAAACAAACTAAAATCAAATAAAATAACCTGTTGGATGCTGGTGGCTCATGCCTATAATCCTAGCTACTCAGGAGGCTGAGATCTGAGGATCGCAGTTCAAAGCCAGCCTGGGCAGGAAACTCTGTGAGACTCTTATCTCCCATAAACCACTGGAAAACCAAAAGTGGCGCTAGAGCGCTTGTCTTGAGCCGAAGAGCGCAGGGACAGCACCCAAGCCCT